AGAAAACAGTTCAATTGCATCCAGAAGGAGATACTTGCATGCTTTGTATCATATAAATGCAGCATTGACCTCTACTGGGTCATCTGCAGATGGATGTTCTGGGTATTAATGTTTTTTTTTTTTTTTGCAATAAAAGTCTCGTCTTTTAGAGTTTTACTTGTTAAAGGTATTGTGGAGGATCTTTGTGAATTTTTTTAAAGAATCGCCCTCTCCAAAAATGCACATACACAACCTTGTAACCGCTCCTGAGAGGAAATGCCTATTAAACGTGTGCGAGAGCGTGCACAAGCCCATTTCTCCTCGTCCACGCTTTGTTTAAAAAAAATTGCTGTTTGCGTCGCTCATACAATCTTACTTTACTATTTTTCCACTATGTTAGACCACGGGTAAGTAAAAATGGGGACGAGCACGTAGGACGGCCTTATATAAACATATCACCAGAATGATTGACAAGTAGGAGGACCACTGATTTAGATGATCCATCCGGAAAAGGAAAATCCTTCACTATACCTTTAATAAATAATTTTTCTTTGTTAGTTACAGATCGACTTTTATGATCCCGGGTTTGTCTTTAAGGCAGTTATTTTTCTTTTTGAAGCTCTTAAAATGCAGAAAAAAGCCTTTTTACCAGCTTTGTCACTCCAATATTCATTGTATTTAATGCAGAAGTATATTATTATTGAACTTAATAAGACCATTGTTTTTATTAAGTAAAGCACACCTATTAAGAATAAACTAATTCGTATAACTATTTTTTTTATGAACAAAAAAAAGACTTGGTTATTCTAGATTAACTCATGTATTATTATATATTTCCTGTTTTATACTAACATTTTGCTCCAAGTTCACTCGTTTTTATTCAGTTTAAAAAAATAAAGTTGTATTTTATCCAGAAGGAGATACTTAAATGCTTTGTATCATGTAGATGCAGCATTAACCTGTACTGGGTCATCTACATGCGCATCTTCTGGGTATAAAATTAAATTTATTTTGTTTAAAAAAAACGTCCATCTTTTAGAATTTATTTTTCAAATAACTTTTAACTAAAGAAACTTTTCAAAATAAAAGTAGACTGATACGTCAGCCAGAAGATATTTGGTCATTTTCATCTTTTAAAGGAAGAAAAAAACAATATAATCTTCGAAGTTCAGCCCCTCTTAAAAATGCCAAAAACTGGGGAAACAATTAAACTATTTCATTTAATAACCTGATTCAAATTTACTGCATTAAATCTATTTTTGATAGCTGAATGTGCTGAGGGCTTATGAAGTTAATAGCTGCTTTTTAGGGTTAGCACATTGTCTTTAAGCTGAGTTTCATTAATTTACCATGCAGTGCGTATGTTAATTATTCTCCTATATGTTTTTATTATTTATATATACAATAAGGAAAAACAATGGAAGGTCAAACAGAACAACTAAACATTTCATAAAGCTAAAAAAGGCTAAATTTGACAAAAAAACAAAACACAAAGAATTTCCAGTTCATATAGGTGATGTTTTTTTCAATAAAGCAAGGCGACACAGGTGAAAGTGAGGATCTGGATATGGAGATAATTAGCAAAAAAAAAGAAAGAAACTGGTATAAGAACATGAAATACAACAACATTTTTTTTTTTTATTGAATAGATTTAAAATAACTATAGGACTAAATTAAAAGTGCCATATTTTACGGCCCCTATAATTTAGATTCTCCCTATTTTCAGTGTTTGACTAAAACCTCTGTTTATTGAGCCCCTCAGATATTCAGCAACCAGTTAAATCACCAGAATGTAGTGTAGTTGATACATAGACGTTTTGCCTGCTGTTTGTTGTTCTTTATATCAAACATTTAGTTGTAAGTCATCAGCCGAGCAGGAAGTAATCAACACTACTTAACTCACGTGGTGACTGGGAGGCATCTGATCCCTCAGACTTAGACAGAAATCCCGCTTAATCCTGCAGCCAGGTCGGTTCAGTGGCTCTCCTTCATGCTGCCTGCTGCTGTCTGTGGTTTTCCAAGCGGCAACGCCGTTGCGGTTATGGGTTAGCGGACGACGTTTTCAGCTCCCGGACTCATGAAGGCCAGCTGGCTGCAGAGGACGGTTACATGGATTGTGCGTTTGATGTCTTTGAGGCGCAAATGTCAAAGTTAAGTATGCAGCCCTGAGGTGGAGGATGAATTCGTGCTGTTTGGGCTTGGAAAATGCACGGCTTTGTTTTGTCTTTCTGATTGAAAGCCTGAAAAGCCTCTTTAAAAAAAAAAAAGCTCTCTTAGTGGATCTCTTAGCTTTGAGGATGGTCTCTGAAGCGCTTGAACAGCAATCTCTGTTTTATAAATATAAATATGACTGTTATGATTGTTTTTCCTGATGTTTTAAAGTGTTGGAGGTTAACAGGCTCCTTTTTTCATTCTTTATTCAAATAAGTTTCCCTTTCAGGGAGTTTTAACCTATAGTGTCTCCTGATTCCTCCACTACTTCCTTGTTGTTACCATAGCAATGTCTCTGTTGGGGAAAATTCCTCCTCGCTTTGCCTAAACCTGTCCTGTTGTATTTTCTTTTTTTTTATTATTATTATTATTTTCAGAAATGTGTTCCTTTCTTTAAAATATGTGCAAGCATTAGAAAAAAAAAGTCTTTAATCGGCAGCAAAATTAACAAAACATATCATGGAGGAATTATGCAGCATCATGGTGACTGTTGCTGACGCACTCTCTGTGCCGTGGGACTCTCTGATTATTTCCTAGCTTATCTGTGCCCTCAGATGCGTCATATGGGAGATAATACCAGGTGAGACTGTCAGTTGATGACGCGCTTGTGTTCGTTTTTCCTCACAGGAAAGTGACCCTGGTGATGGTGGGCCTGGATAATGCGGGAAAGACGGCGGCGGTGCGAGGAATACAGGGAGGTTGGTGTCCCAATTGAGAATGTCTTTCGCTTATTGGGTGTGTCCTCAATCTAAAGCTTGTGTTTTTCTCCTTCTTCAGAGAATCCGCAGGACTTGGCTCCCACTGTAGGCTTCTCCAAGGTGGACCTGAAGCAGGGAAAGTTTGAGGTGACCATCTTTGACCTTGGAGGTGGGAAGAGGATCCGGGACATCTGGAAGAACTACTACTCGGAGTCCCACGGCGTGGTGTTTGTGGTGGACTCCAGCGACGTGCAGCGGATCCAGGAGACGCGGGAGACAATGGCGCAGGTCCTTCAGCACCCGCGCATCGCTGGGAAACCCGTGCTGGTGTAAGCAATCCCTCATAAGCCCTCTATATGATGTTTGTGCTGCTTTTTATTTTAACCATCTGGTAAAATAATATGGAGATTCTAATTTCTAGTCAGTCAAACACAATGGCTTAATTGGATTGCATGCTTTAAATTGAAATAGTTTCACATTTTTTGTTGTTTTTCTCTTTGCTCTCAGACTTGCCAACAAACAAGACCTGGAAGGAGCGCTGGCTGAAGCAGACATCATTGAGAACCTGTCGCTAGAAAAGCTTGTTAACGAAAACAAGTGTCTCTGTCAGATTGTGAGTCTTTTCACACCTAATATAAAAACAGTTCTGCTTTCATTTATAGCCTCCTATTATTCTTTATATTTAAATGTCAGCAACTTGGACGAAACGGCTTCTCAAGGCACGTGATAAGAAAAACAGAACTAACTCGTTTCCGGTTATCTAGTATCCAAAGACAGTTAATTTAATAAGTTATCTAATAAGTTAAGTTTATGCAACTCATTAAAACCTCTAAAATTATATAAAATCTAATTAATAATCTAACACAAACAATTGTGGCAATCCCCCATTCTGAGCAAGCATGTGGGGACAAATGAAAGGAACAGGGATGCACGTCCATTGTGGGATTTTACAAGGCAGGAAGCAGACGGAAAAAAACGCTGATTCACTGAAATAGGGCGACTTTCTGTTACGACAAAAAAGTACACACCTTCAGTGAAACTTTGAGATAAAAGCCCAGAGACTATATCTATATGAGTAAAACGGAGTATTAGGGCTATACTAAGAGATATATTTCTTATATTACAAAAATAGTCCTAATATTAGTTCTAGAACATTAAGGTAAAGAATTACAGGACTAATATTGTAGTATTATGAAAGCTGTGCAAGAATTAAATTATATTATTGTGAGTAATATTGCGCGATCAATTACCAGTCTAAAGTATTACCAAAGTAAAGTCATAACATTATGAAAATTAAATCATAACACTTCAAGAAAAAGCACAGAGTTAATAGCAGCAACAGAAAATACAGTCGTTATGTCCTACTGCTGCACTTCGTAGTTGATTAGAATTACTTAAACCAGTGTAACAGCTAATTCAAAAGGAAAGGTTTTAAGGTGTATATTTGTGTCTGTATTCCAGGAACCATGCTCTGCCATTTTAGGCTGTGGAAAAAAGGTGGACAAGTCCATCAAGAAAGGCCTGAGCTGGCTCCTCAGCAACATAGCCAAAGACTACGAGGCCATTGCTGAGCGCGTGCAGAAGGACACGGCGGAGCAGCGCGCTCTGGAGGAGCAGGACAAGAAGGAGAGGGCCGAAAGAGTGAGACGGATACGGGAGGAGAGGTGGGAGAATGGCTTTTAAAACTTAAAAACAGGGGAAGAAAATAAGAAAGCAGAGGTTTATTATGTGGAACGGTCCATATTAACTCTTTTCACAGAGAACGGCTGGAGAGGGAGGAGGCAGAGCGAGAAGGAAGGCCAGTCCAGGAAGAGGAAGCTGATAACGAGAGCATACAGAGCCCCTTCCAGCCCATCGGAAACCTGATCTCCAAGGTTCAGGATCTCTGATTAAATCATAAAATTGCAGTGTGTCTCCTAAAGCAAAGGAGTGACACCTTTTTCTTCTCAGAAAGAAGAGCAAGAGCCTGAGAGGAAGGAGCAAATAGAGCTTCAGGAAGACAGGAGCAATGGTCCGAAGGAGAGCTTGGAAAACGAGGAAGAAGAGTTTGAGGAAGAAAATGCTGGAGAGCCCAATCACACGAGACCAACACCAGAAAACACACCTTTAGGTGAGTTTCTGTTACTTCATTGTTAATGATCAGTGATTGGGGTTTAAAACGAGTCTTTCCGAATGAGCCAAAAGGACTGAATATTTTATACACGTCTGCTTGTTGGATCCCAGCAGGTGAGCATAGCAAGAAGAAGTCGAGCAAGCTGCACCTGAAGAGGAAACACAGGGTAGACCCGCTGAGGACGGACGAAGGGCCAGCAGAGAGCCCCACGCCGCCGCCTCCACCTGGTGAGTCAGTGAGCGTCAGTCAAAGAGGCCTGCCACAGCAACAGGCTGCCAGTTAGATGTCTGATGGGAAATGGGGAATTTAGTGAAAGGGAGAGTTTTAGAACGGCTTGCCAGAAGGTGTTGGACCCAGTTGTCTTCAGGTCTAATAAACACTAATCTCATCTCTATGGAGTAAACAGAATTTGAGTTTTATTAGAGGTGATGGATTCATTTAAAAAACAAAACAAAAAAACAGCTCTATCATATCAGCCATGGTTCAGGTACCTCAGACAGACTAAACAAGCAGATTGCATAGTTTTCCTCATAACAGAGAAGAGACCATGATGAGAATCAGATTCAGGTCTTTTGAAAGAGGAGAGCCCCTCCATAACAAGACAGACAGCAGGACTTTCTTTCTATCTTTCTTTTCTCCTTGTGTCTATCCTACAAGTCTATCCTTCCTTCCTCTTGTCCTTCCTCCAAGTCTATCCTTCTTTCCTCATGTCCTTCCCTCAGGTCTATCCTTCCTTCCTCTTGTCCTTCCTCCTGGTCTATCCTTCCTTCCTCTTGTCCTTCCTCCAAGTCTATCCTTCTTTCCTCGTGTCCTTCCCTCAGGTCTATCCTTCCTTCCTCTTGTCCTTCCNTGTCCTTCCCTCAGGTCTATCCTTCCTTCCTCTTGTCCTTCCTCCAGGTCTATCCTTCTTTCCTTGTGTCCTTCCCTCACGTCTATCCTTCTTTCCTCATGTCCTTCCCTCAGGTCTATCCTTCTTTCCTCGTGCACTTCCTCCAGGTCTATCGTTCTTTCCTCGTGTCCGTCCCTCAGATCTATTCTTCTTTAATCGTGTCCATCCCTCAGATCTATCCTCCTTTCCTCGTGCCCTTCCCTCAGGTCTATCCTTCTTTCCTCACGTCCTTCCTCCAGGTCTATCCTTCCTTCCTCTTGTCCTTCCTCCAAGTCTATTCTTCCTTCCTCTTGTCGTTCTCTCAGGTCTACCCTTCTTTCCTCGTTTCCTTCCCCCAAGTCTATCCTTCTTTCCTTGTGTCCATCACTCAGGTCTATCCTTCTTTCCTCATGTCCTTCTCTCAGGTCTACCCTTCTTTCCTCGTTTCCTTCCCCCAAGTCTATCCTTCTTTCCTCGTGTCCATCACTCAGGTCTATCCTTCTTTCCTCATGTCCTTCTCTCAGGTCTATCTTTCCTTGCTAGCCATTTTCCAGTTGTAACTAGTCTAACCAGTAGAGGTTTCTCTCCCAGTGCAGATCTCTCCATAGTTAAGCTGAAGGATAATAGCTCCCTCTGCTGTCCTTTTTTCCTCTAATCAGTTTTTTTCCTAATCCTCTCCCTCCAGTGGGATGGGCCACTCCCAAAGTCTCCAGGCTGCCCAAACTAGAGCCTCTGGGAGACTCTGGACATTCTGGTAAAGCGTCTGCCGATCGTCCGCTCCTATCACTTCCTGTCACTAACTTCTGGGTTTGACCCATTTAATGTCAGCGCTTCCTTCATTAAACCAGCTTGTAGTTTTTGTGTTTTCAGAAGGAAACATTGATGCGTCTGGCTTATAATGTATCCTGACTATTAATCAGTCTCTCAGACACTCATCTGCTTCTTCCCCCTCCTGCATGTCTCCATGCATGAGCTTGAATGTTTCTCCATGGCTGCAGATGTCTGAATCATTCTCACCTTCTCTTCACATCGCTCGCCTCCATCGTCTTGTGTCTTAGAACATTAACCAGCTTCTTTTCTGCTGAGAACTCAATAGAAACCATTTAGTAATGGAACCAAATCCTTTTTTCCTCCTCTCTGCAGATTTTTACAAGAAGCCCCTCCCACCGCTGGTGAACAGGTCACGACCTAACGGCGACTCCCAGGACGTCATCTCATAAAGCTCCTATAATGACTGACTGAGGTCAGCCGGCCACCAATCACAGCTCTCTTCTGTGCTTTTTGTCTCAAGCGAATGGCGTGGAGACAACCAAACCAAATGGATCGACCGGTGCGGGTACCGCTGAGGGAAGGGTGTTGGCTCAGAGTGCTGGGGAGTGACATCCCTACACTAATGCTGATCTTTCATTTAAAAAAAAAAACTAAGCTTGAGGCTAAACCTGCTTGAACTGTCAAATTCCATCTGGATTTTATTTTATTTTTTGTACTATTGGTCAGTATTGAAAGTTGGGGAAACAGCATTTTCTACTTAAAACACTTTAAACCGAAAAAGAATGTAAATAAAACCTTCTCTAACATTAGCACGAAGGTTATCCATATTTAAAAGAACTTTTTTTTTTTAAAGTAAAATTGGTGTTTTAAAACAAAACTATCGACCGAAAACAGATTCCTCTATGTTTTCTGCCAAGTTTTTTTAATGTAGGAACCACAAAAAATATTTGGTTTCTCATCGCCATATAAAAAATAGTCTGTTTTTGCACTCTGAGATCAATAGATTGAAATTGATCGTGATCAGAGGTGGAACTATACATTAACCGATGGGTACGTTTTTGTTTCATGTGTTGATAAATATCAGTGGTGTGCTGGGACCATTTTCCACCCCGGAAGATTCAAATCCAACCTGAAATAACTCATCTACAATATCAATTATGTCTCTACACTGATATTACAACCCTAATATATATGTTGCATATATGGCTCAGAAGCACTTGTTCCCTACCTAACTTCTATTTTAACTGTGATGCAGCTGCTCAGGTGCTATCAAAATCAGGCAATAATTGAAGAATTAGATGATTAGCAGGCATCTATATAATGAATCACATGAACAATTATAGATGCATTTATATTTAAATTTATATATTTGCCTTTAAATAATTGCACAGTTGAAATGTTTAAACTCTCTTTATTTTAAAAGTAAATATAAATGTAGGTATATTACAGATTTGTGACGACATTTATAATGGTGAATGATAACATACACCGTTAGGAACCAGTTGTAGGGCCCATGCTGATTGTGTAAAAACTGGCATTGAGGGAATGACATGCTATCCTGGGTGTGTACGCAATACAAAGGGTGTGTTGCATATTTGCAACAATAGGCATCGGGAGGTTAACTAGCACACACAACTTCAACCCTTCCCAACGTGTTTTATTTGTGGTGGCACTAGGAGCTGTGATTTCATTTAGATTGATACAGCTCAGGTGCTACAAAGATCAGGTTATTTGGTTAAATATTTTCATTTTTATTCATTAAACAATTTCCGATTCCCAAAACATGCACTAGTTTTCCCGATTCTCCAAATAAATGTGTAGTGCTAACTTTGTAATGGAAATAATTCTCTTGATCTATTTATTTTTATCCATTATCTATTCAATATCAATTTGTCAATTCAGAGCAGAATCTGATATTAGCGCCAGACAAGCTCTACTATGAGTGTTAGTCGTTAACCGCTTCAGCTTTGCAGCAGCATTTAAGGAATTGTACCCAAATTCAGTTGTTTATCCATTAAGAAAAATTGGTATTTTAAGTGATTTAAAGTCAAAAAGCAAAAAAACTTAAGCTAAATATGCCCAACTCCACTACTTCCTGAACTTCAGCCAGCTCCTTTTTTTCATTACAGGACAAACTGCTCAATCCAGGTGTGTCTGGCTGTTGTCGTCATGGTTACTGTGGTCACGCAAACCTGGATTGATCAGTTTTTCCAGTGATGAATCACAAGAAACAAAGAATGTGAAAATATAGCCCATTAATGTTAAGAAACCACTCCATAGCGGCTCACTGATGAACCAGCCCAATCGTAATGATTACCCAGCATGCCACTGAATTAAACATTTACAGTCATTGGGGGGGGGGGGAAAACAATATCGGCTTTAAAACACCGCCGAAAAAAAAATCTGCATCGGTCGATGTCTTATCATGACGTCCCTGAATAAGAAGGTACAAGTCTTTGATTTCCTTTTCTGTAAACATTTTCTTATCTTACTCCCAACTGTCACTGTGGAACATACATGTAAAATAAAAACACTAACATTCTCAGCTTATATCAAACAAAAAAAAGCTTATTCTAAAAATCTTTTTCTACTTTTATTCTTTAGGAAATGCATTGAAAAGTGTCAGATTTGTTTCATGCTGTTTACATCACGTTTGTGTTTTTTAAAGTGATATAAGGGCTTCTTTTCTCAACGAGGAATTGACTGAAACATAAAATTGGGTTTCTCTGAAGGGGACAAAGTCTGTGAAGTATCTCTTTAAAAAACATAATATTTTGGATCTGTAGTGCAGCAAGATCCAAATGTTTAAAAAAAATACATACTTTTTCTATCCTGTTGATATTTTATAAGAGCACTATTAAAGCTGTTTAAATATTAAATGGACTGATGAGGATCTTTTGTTCATCCATCTGCTGATTATATCATTTTAATTTCTATTTGTTTTGGTGTCGATAAACCTGCAGCTAAAACCACAAAATCAGGCTCTATAATCAGAAAAAAAGATTAGTTTTTTCTCTCCATTGTCGCTACAAGCATGCTTAGTGTGCTGGCTGATTTTCCTTAGATATAAAAAACTTTAAATTGAATGGAATTGAAATGAACAAACAAGACCTCGTGTTACTCTAGATTCACACTCCATTTCCAAATGAAATTTTGTATTGATTTTCATGTTGAAAGAATAAAGCAACCTGATTATGGCTATGACAAATGGCTTAATAAATTATAAAGATCTGATTTAATAGCTTTCCTTTAAAATCCTTTCATTTGCCTTTTTCTACCAAACTTTATTCTTCCACTCAACTTTCCTTTGCTTTGACACTTCGCACTTTAAGCCTTTGTACGGAGCCCCTCTGATGACATGGTCAAAAAAAATTTTTAATTGTGGCCACGAAGTAGTATTTTGTGGGCACGAAATACTACTTCGTGGCCACAAAAAAAATTTTTTTGACCATGTCATCAGAGGGGCTCCGTACCTTTGTCTACTTTAACAGGAACTTTTTATGACGCGCTTTTCTTTGTTAGGTCAGTTTTTTTTTAACTATATTTCTTTCATAGATATAAGTTATCTTCAACTTTCTTTTTTTTCATTTTTAACAAGTTAAAAGAGCTGTAATGACTAGAGTAATGTATAATTTATACACGTCACTCTTTATATTATATAAATAAACTTTTCTCTTATAGTGTGGTTGTTTGTGCCAAACCACCTACTGTAGAAATCTGCTTAAGTTCTGGATTAGTGAGACATTTTTATATTGAAAGTCTATTTGAGATATAAAGAGGGTAAACAAATAAATGGACAGAAATTATATGTTTTATATCTTTTTTTATTCTAAATGCTGCATATTGGTGTTTTCATATCAGTCTTTTCACAGGCAGTGCAAATATAGTGTTAGTGCAATACAATGTGGAAGAGCACTGGTTAAAACCAATCATCCAAAAGTTCTTAAAAAGGGGGAAATAAATCTGAGTGAAGTTTAATCTTATTGTTTAATAGAAACAATAAAAAAAAAAAAAATCAGTACATGGACATCTCTGCTGTCTTTTACAGGACACATTTCCTGGGTTTTAAAGCGGCTTTTAATGGTTTGGCTCCATCTTGGCGAGACGATTATCTACAATATTTGACTGTATAAAGATAAATGATGCTGAAAGTACAGGATTCTTTTAAGATATTGTGAGGAAGCAGGAATAAAAATATGCAGAAGAGCAGCTTTCCTTGGATAATTAAGCCGTTTTGGAAAGAAAGCTGACAGCCTGAGTAGGGTCAAGTCTTTGCTGTCAAAAAGCTCTGAAAAATTATTCTTAGCTCAATAAAAATCTTAGTATAACACGTTTTACAAGAAACGAAAGCAATTCTTAAAAACTGAGAGCAACATTTCATACGTCTGATGCATACAAACGATCCTTAAAGTATTTTTGAGTATATGCACCAAAATCACACAAGAGTTGGAACATTTAGGCATTCAGCATAAAATTTGTTGCTTTCAGACTAGTTTGAACACTAAAAAAAATCATACGCTGCATAAACATTACTGTAACACCACAGGAGTATTTAAGATTATTGTCGATTATTTGGTGTGTGATTTCGGATAATGTAAGGAATATCCGATACATGACGATCTGAGGCCTATGGAATACAAAGTCTTCCATCACGCTAAATAAAAATCCATTAGAGCCAAAAATGTAACATTCAGTTTTCTATTTATCGGTTTTAAATTTTGCAAAGATGTTGATGTTTCTTGGGAATTTAGAAAACCGACAGAAATTTTAACCCTAAAAAACAGAAATGTTGATTTTAAATGCATGTCTTTTTGGTGTCCTTTTTTTCTGAAAAACGTAAATTATTAACTGACAATTTTCAATAACTGCTTGTACCGTTTTTTTTTATGAACACCATGTTTTTAGGAGATTCTGTCTGTGTACAGGCCAACTTTAAAAATTTATGAATGGATCTTAAAGAAAACTTTACCTCAGTCCAATAAGCAACACATTAAATTTTGGTTATGATCAGGATCACCATCTGGATCCAGGATATATTTTTTTCGAAGATTGTGTGAATACAGATATTAACCTAAGGTAAAAGTCATTACATTATGTTATGTAGATTCCTGGAAGATGTGTATCTGTTTAAAATACTTTGGCTGATTTCATGTTTAATAATAAATGCTTTTTTTAATGCCCTACAGCTTGGTTAGATTGACAGATTCTCAGGGCACAGGATAGTTTGATTTAGTCTATATAGACCATAGTACTCTGCATTGGGAAGGAGCTCCTGCCTCGTGGGGTTTGGAGGTGAGGGATGGATGTAGGTTTTGCTGCTTCTTGGTATCAAAAGGAATAAGATGGACATCTGTTAAGGATTCTGTCTGGACATTTTCCAAGAGATGAGTTTCTGACGGCTTCCCACCCGGAGGAAGCCTCAGGGGGGAACAAATGACCGCAGAGGGGTTTTATTTCCAGGAAATAGAGGTCCAGCAGGGAGGTAGAGAGATGGAGCATAAAAAAAAAA